GTGTACATCTTTTCTTTGAGTCTGTCACATTCGTGCTGTTGTCAGCGAGGAGATTTCTTTTCTCTCGCACAGAAACGATGCATTTGTAGATGTGAGTCGCGATCTCAATTTTAATGTCTTTTGTTTCCACAGATGTTGTTTCAGAAGACTGGTATTAGACTGAGACTTTGGACCGCCCCAGTAACGTGCTCACAGAGTCTCTGGTCATATGCGCTTTCGCTATACGTTTTTCGCATATCCTTAGCTGTATGTCAGTATTATTAGGGGCATCAGTATCCAATCCGCGACCAGAGTAGAAGCTGCCGAGTAGGCCCACTTTATTGGGCGCACATTTTCATTGATCGCTCCACCATGTTGACTCTGGGGTTGATAAATTGAGGCCTTTTATGGTGTATCACGGCTTAGCATTGTTCTTACGAAATTAGTCCAACAAAATGCCTTTATTGTCTTGTGTGGCTTGAGACGTCAAAGCATCAGAGAACTTGAAGATGACTCTCTTCTGGGATGTTGCACTGTGCAGTCTTGTAGAAACTGGTCGACGTTTTAGAGGTGGTTACGGCTTCCATCATGGATGCGCAACATCTTTGTACTCGCTTTCGTAAGAAACTGGCATTTCTTCAGAGTACTCGTTTGTAACAGAATTTGGCTTTGGGATTCTGTACATCCCTGAACGTAATTAAACCTTTCCTGTGAACTCAGACCGGTACGCTGTACGCTGGGTGCTGATCCCAGCGAACAACTGGGAAGGTAATCGGGAGTATGAGAGTCTAATCGTTTGGAGAGAAACACAATTACATGTTTGTACTCTCTTCCTCTTTGCTTACTGATACGTGCACTTATACTCCGCCTGCTTGTACACTGTACTTTTGTATTTAATTTCCAAGCCCTTTTTTATATAAACAGTGCTCTGTGGCGGTGTCTGCGGAATTAAAACTCTATGCAGTCTAGTTTCTTAGACCTGGCCGCTGTAAACACGATGAACGAGTCAAATAAGAGAGGCAACGAATTAAACGGGAGTGTGGGTCAATTTAGGTTACTATTTAACTAACCAACTACATGCAAAATTTTAACTCCCACTAATCTTCCCCTCACTTCACCACATACGTCAGCCGTCACGTTAAAAAAAATTGTATACCCAGTACCAAACAAATACTAAGGTTTAAAATTATTTTAGAGAATGATGCAAACCTTTAGGTATGTCACGTTTTGGGCTCTTATAACCTGATATTTGCTTCTTTATCCTTGATGCGCTTTTAGTTAGAACTGTCTGAAATCCATACTTTCAATAGTTTATTTTTATGATATATTTAACGACGATATTAATTTCTTATATTATACGCAGGGCGTCAGTTACTGGTTGCAATAAATAACTAAGTTATAATATAGGTACTTATTAATTCCATCGAAAAACTGTGGGAATATTAAATTGCTTGGGAATTATTTTAATAAATCATAATTACATTGACGAATAAATTAAAGGACAGATTAAATTCGTAAAATGCTTATTACGAGCAGCTTAGAATTTTTTTATTATTGTCTGCAATCTTAAAAAGGAAAGTTTAAAACATAAAAAACTGTAATTTCAAACGCTGTTTTTTATGGATTTGAAGCTTGTCTTTCACGCTGAGAAGGGAAGAACTCAGTGTGAGTGTGTTTGAGAACTGATTGCTGTTTGGATCTAAGAGAAACTAATCAATAGGACGCTAAAGAAAATCGCGAAATGAGGAGTTAGGCTTTATGTCATGGAAACATTACACAAAAGTGCTTCGCGGATTTATACTTTTTCATATGTACACATCTCTTCCGTTAGAATTTAATTAAACTTTAGGGTTACGTATTCTTCCTTTTGTCTTTGTGGTAATTAATGGGATGCAATGTGATACGGTATTTCATCACACAGAGAGAAGTCGTGTGCGGTCAGCATCAGCATTTCGTTTGTGTGAGGACTGGAATCCATCTTATCCAACCACCGCGCGTCACTGGTGAGTCGGAATTTACTCTGCAACGCCTCCACACCCAGCGATAAACCTATTCCACATATTGACTAATTAATCTTCAGGGTGGAGTTCCGCATTTTCAAATAACAAATCACACACCTACTACTATAAAGGCGCTGTACACATCCCACTATGAGCATTGTCCTTCATGTAGAATTTTCTGCCAGTATTTTAACCTTATTTGGCATCAGCTGGGATGCCTTCGGTGGGGTATTGGACAGTCCAACACAAAACAGTGGAACGTAGGAAAATGAGGAGATTCGTGGGATTCGAAATCACAATTCCGGTGTTCGAGGAACCTAAAGTCGCTTCAGAAATTAAACATTTCGTAATAAATTCTTAAATAATTTTACTTAAGTTTTGTTAATTATTATGAGATTTTAGTTACGGATTACTGGAGCCACGTAAACTACAATTACTCTAAGATGGCAAAAGTGGAAATGCAGCGGAAACTGAGTCATTTCTAGCCTAGGTGATTGGTTAAATTAAAATTGTTTAGCTACGAAATAAGAGGCTGGTTTAGCCCGCACTCCGCATAGACGTGGTGGCTAAGACAAGAAATCTCAGGTTGCCTATTGCAGATGGAATCCTGCCCGCCAAAGCCTGTAGCTCACAGAGCAGGTTTTCAGCTGTCTGAAATCATACAAGTCTTTTTTTTTTCAGAAGCGTGCTACCAAACCTTTCATGTCTCTCAGCTGTAAGAGACGTCGATTTTCAAACAAAACAACACGTAACAGTGCAAGCAACCGTTCGCATACGAAACTCCTGTTTGTGTTACAGCACTGATATCTATTAGCAAGCTTTCCTTCAAAGTCCAAAACCGAAACAAAGAGTGGGTACAAACGCCTTCTTTCATCTAAGCTTGAAATTCCAAGTTTTGTGCCTCATAGTTAGTTAAAGCCTATGCAGCAGATAGAATATTCACTGCGTTGAAAAATGTTTCGCAACGTTGTAGATCTTATTCATATTTTATCAAGTTAGAAGCTCTTGTTCTTTAGTGTGTTCTACAGTTTGTAAAGAAATATATGAACTTTGCTTTGAGTTTCTTGCAGAGTCCAATGTTGTATTCCATCGATACTGCTGAATCGATAATTTCGTCATCTTGTGCCCTCCTCGTGGTTGTGTGGACTGAAGTATTTATGGTTGGGGTTTATCCAAATGGTTTAAAGACCAGTTTCTCGATATGGGCTTTTATGTAAAGTGCTCTCCATTATAGTCCGATTTGTACCAAACTTGACATGTGTCAACAAACTTTAGTGAGATTCCCCAATATTAATTTTCGTTAAAATTCACTTTGCTGTTTTATAGTTATTGCATGCGGACTTATGGACGGGCATGCCGAAGTTCCTTGGCGTATTTTTGCAGCTTAATTGCTAACGAGACTCAAATCATGTAGCAATTTGGTTGAAACACTGATGATTGACTCTTTTTCCGTAGTACGTCATGATAATCAAGTTTAACGCACTTTAAAATGTAACGTGAAATATGGCACGGTTCATCAAACGCGTATCTATCAGATATGGAGACCAAATTTCAGATTTATGCAAATCGTCATAGTGTAATGAGTCCGAAGTAGAGCACATTATTAGTACAAATGTTAACTGTGTATGGAATATATTAACGAAATAACTGGTTCATATGACGTTCAGTCATATAAATGGATATTGTTATGTCGCTCTGTTTACCCTGAATAATTTGCAGACATTTTTCTCTTAAGTATAATCGTAATGCGGCAATCTATGCTGACGATTGGACACGAAACGTTAAGCAAGACAAGATTCATGACTTACGTGCGACTAATAAAACTATCGAAACTGCCTGTTGTTGATTTTAAATTTTGCATCGCCATTTACTGCAGTTGGTGAAAATACGTTTTTCTGTTTCCTAGGCGGAAATGTCTGTTTGCTCCGTTTAGCAGTGTCCTTTTGAAGAAGCTATTGGACGCTCCGTTAGTCAAGAAATTTCATCACAACAAAATTTGTGGTGCACATTGTTTACTCTCTACTTTATAAAGAAAATACAAGATAAATTGAGATCAAGATAGCGTTATCAGTAATCCGTTACCTCACTAATGCACCTCTGAAATAATCTAATGAACAAACGGACAAAAATAAAAATTAAAAAAACAAAAATAAATAAAGAAATAAAATAAAAATGTGATATAGAAAGATTCTGAGTGCAGTATAGATCTGTTTTCAATTTTAACATTTAATAAAAGACCTAATATTTTCGTTAAGCCCGTATAACCTTTCCTTCGGCACTAAATGCAATATTTTTTATAAATCACTCTTAACTTTAAACAGGATACATATACACATTTTTTAAGTCTCTACGCTCCTTAAACACAAAATCATACGTATGCGACGAAATATTCTGTTGGTGGCGAATAAAGCATTTTGTAATTAAACCAACTCTAGTAGAATAATTAGTTCCGATACACGCCCCTGCCCGTAAGCGGTCTACACCCTCCCTGCCTCACTCCAGTATACGCGTGTACGCTAATGTGCGGTCGGACAGACACGCTATAGAACGGTTTGGTCGTTCCTGTTATTCGTATTAAGCCGTCATCAGGATACAGTTTTAATTAATGGCATTATATTTCGACAGTACCACTAAGCACAGTTTCGAACCAATTATATTTTCATAGCGACCTGGAGGGACGATTTCGGTGCTCTAGGGAATAATATTATTAATCAGTAACTAGGTCATATTATGCGTGTTCTTATGAAGTACCAACATTTCGTTTCAACTGCGTACAACTTGCCGTTAACGTCCTCTCTTAAGACATAATAAATCAAATAAAACTTTGAAGATGATTCTCTTCTGGGGCGTTGCGCCGTGTAGTTTGGTTGAACTTTGCCCCAGTATATTGACTAAAGTTTCTAACAGTTTCTCTAGACAAATGTAGGGCTAGAACCTCAAAATAGGCCACGATCGTATCCTTCCATACCTTGTGATTCTACAGTGTACCTCATGTCTCCCAGCGACTGGGTATACTGGGTTGTAGTCTGATGGAAGTTTACTAACGTTTCAGAAATCGTTTCTGCCTCCATCATCAGGGCAAACGTTGGTGAACTTCTACCAGACTACACGGCGCTTCAACCCAGAAGACAGCCATCTTCAGACTCACCGCCGTGACAGCTACTTAACATGATAAAACAATTTATTCCTGTGCAGTCTACATGCACATATTTTAGTACATAATTCAGTTTAACGTGCGATATCCAACAGTGTTCCAGTGTATCAACACGTGGGTAAGAATGTTTAGAAACACTGGAATAGCAGGTTTAAGAGCGCTGATAAAAGAGATTTTCTAAAATTTGCGACTGACATTTGCACAGAAGAAGAAATGTGTGCTGAATGTTTGTGGCTAGTATAGAGCTGTTAAAGTTTGCATTCAGTGGACGAGGATTGCTGGAAAATAGGAAACATGCGTGGAAAACGAACCAATTAAACAGGAGCCATTATTAGTTTGGCAGTTGAGTTGAGCGTCGAAAAACACGTGAACAGACTGGGAGTTCGCAGAAGTTGTGTGGTTTTGACTGTGCCAGAAACACTGTGAGTGCTACATTGGGTTGAACAAAGCAGCAAGAACGTCTTAATAACTTTATTTTGTCGTTGGTGGCAGCCCAGATATTTCCTGTTTAAGCAATACTCCTTTTGGTGGTAAAATGTCATGTAGAGTGACTGTTATGGACATCAGCTTGAAACCGCACGTCACTGTTAAGGGTTTGTTAGGTGTGTTTCAGTAACAATCGTGTGTGGTAAATTTAGAAATCGTTTCATCACGTGATTTGTGTGAAATTAGTAATTAGTCCAATGCTTGGCATTTCACAACAGATGTGAGTGACCAACTAAAATTAAGATAGGCAACTTTATATAAGTTACAAATAACCAGTGATAGTTGGCTCAATTTTATACAAAACTTGTGTAGTTTTTTTTAAATCTCGTTAGTAGGCTTAACCACTGAAGTTTGGTATTTTTCATCAATTCGTGGTAATACTAATAACAGCTCATGTTCTAAATAAATTCCGAGTCCTTAAGAAACCCTTACGATTAATATAACTGTATTTACATCAAAAATAAACATAGTCTGAAGATTACACTATTAAATGTGGAAACGTGGTGTTGTTAAAATAGACATCACAATTCACCATATGCAAACGCCTAAGTGAATCGATGATTACAAAAATAGTATGTCATTTTTAAAAAAATCGATATATTTGCTGAAATTCATTCTATGACGATAGTTGACACGTTCTGTGCAGAAGTCATGCAAATTTCGTTTGTTTCTGTTCGGGTTTACGGACTGACAACAGAACAGAACAAAACAAGTCATTGACTCATGCTATTTCTGCTTTCGGTTTAAGCTGGCAGACTGGCGTATGTTGCTTTGGCAGAAAATAAAATATTTATAATCTTGGATTTAATCTTGCAACTGAACACATAGGTTAAAGGATGAATAATCTAAAAAGAATTGGACTTAAAATTTTGTGCAGTTAATGCAACGCTGATTACTTCATTCATGACGCACGGCTGTCAAATTTTCTAGAATGCAGCGGGGCACCACGGAGCCGTTCGTCACTAAGCCACTGTCACGTGATGAGAATCTAGCTAGGTGTACAATCTGGCTGAAATAAATTGAAATGTCAAAGCCAGATGTTGATGTTGTGACTTTTACCTATCAGCGTTTTCATATTCCTAGCAAAATGTCGTATAAAGTTCTACAGTATCACAGCGTTTGATGTTGGAAGTACCTTACTTCCCTAGCTGACTGACTAATGATGCCGCAATGGATGCCCAACAGAGCTCCGAAAAATAAAATTTGTCCATTGTTTAAATATAAAATATACTGAATAGATGCTCTATATAACGCTATAATATTAATATTTTAGAACTAACAGGTTGTAAGTTACTTGTATTTTGGAAGTCTAATTTAAGAAAATTTTATAGTGCTTTAGCGTAAAATAAAGAGATTCATTTTT